AGGTAGTTTTGTTACATCCATTTTACAGATAAGGAAACAATGGCTAAGTGAGATTAAGGGATTCATCCAAGGTGACACAGCTGGAAAGCACTCAGGTCTCAGTCATCAGATGAGGTATTGCTGAGCAGATTGAAGCCTTGGGTCCAAATCCCAGCTTTGTCACATGTGTGACTTTGGGCAAGTCACTTATCTTCTCTAGATCTCGGTTTCCACAAATATAAAACAGTAGGAACAATCCTGACCCAGCCTGTCTTTTCTGGCTGTTTTGAGGATGAGATGAGGAAACAGGAATAAAAGTTTTCCATTGGTGGTAAAGTTCTGGGACCCATGAGGGCTGTTAACAATGCTGTTCTCATTATCAACGAAGCCCAGGTCTAACTGCACCATGTCCTCCCTCTCCCTCCCCTCCAAGAAGTTGCTCTAACTGGCTGGTGGATGTGGGGTCCCATAGGAGAGCCAGCTTGAGGGAGAGCGTCCCTGTGGGCCCGACTGAAGGGAGGGGCTTTAGGGTTTAATGGGCTCAGCTCCTACCTAACTCTTCCCACCAAGGTCAAGTGTGGTGACTCCACAGAAGATACCAAGGTGGACCAGCTGTGGCAGGTGAGATGGGCTGGGGATGCAGCACCCAGAAGCAGGCAAAGACTGGGATGGGGAGACAGGCTTAGGGAGGCCAGGGGCATATAGAATCATGGCGGGGCCTGGGAGGACACAGCTAATGTGTGAAAAGCAGGGTCCCTGGATCCAGGTTAGTTAGCTGTGCATACCCAGTTTATGTGACCTTGGGTCCAACATCCTAGCAGGCCTGGGCAGGGATGTATAGTCACAAGCAGGAGGCAGATGATCTTGGAAGAAGAGTTTTTCCAAGGAGGCAAGGCTGATGATAGTAAGAGAAGTGGAAACATTTAATGAGTTCTCTGTCAACACTTTAAGAGTCACAGATGGGGGACTGCAGTTCAAAGGGAAGGGACTTGCCCAAGATGAAAGGTGGTAGAGTCAGGGTGGGAACTGAGCTCTTTATCACTCCAAAGTTAATGGACCTAAACTCTATCCTTCACACTTATCCTGCTCCTTTTTGTAAGGGAACAGTGCAGGGTGGTAGAAATAGCATGAGAGGAATAGCATGGATTGAGGTTGTAATGAGTGTTACATGACATAATGAATGTAAAGAACCAAGCAGGCAATAGAGGCTTAAATGGGAGAGCCCTTACTCTCTCTTCTTACAGGCATGGACCATGTGATTTCCATCTCTAACCACTCACTGCCAAACACAAAGGGGACACTTGAAAATATTTATTGATCTGGAGCAGACCTTGTCTTCCAAAGCTTTCATTTTACAGATGGGAGAACTGAGGCTCAGAGGCCCAAAGTCACACAGCAAGCAAGTGGCAGAGCTAGCCCAGGAGTCAGGAGTCTTGGTTCCCAGGCTGGGGCTCAGTCCTTTGCGGCAGGCCGGCTCCAGGATGACCTCTCTGCTCTCACCACTTACCAGTCTCCTTCTGTGACCCTCAGTTTCTTCATCTGTTGAAGGAGTGTAGCCACACCCTGGCAGGGTTGTATGATGAGATGAGACTAGGCACGGTAAACTCAGCAGCAGGTTGGACATTCAGGTTATCAGTTTTTCTGCCCTTCTTTCTCCTCCACCAGCACTGTAACTGGCACGTAGATAAACTCAACAGGGAGAATGCTATCAAAGAAAGGATGCCTTAACAATACGGTCATGTGTCGCTTAACCTCCACAGTATGTTCTGTGAAATAGGACGCTATGGGATTTGGACAATGCATGAATACCATATTATACACAGGCAGTCCCCGGGTTACATCCCCGGCCTCGCCTGCTGTGCCGCCAGCCTGAGAAGCCTCTGCCCCAGCCTGCCTGCCAGACAAAGCCCAGAGCTGTATCCACTGTATACAGGAGGCCTGTCTTGCCAGGTGTGCAGTTGCAGGCTGGGCTGGTTCGGGACTTTGCGCATGTCTGGGTGCAGGGGCCAGGGGTGCACGGGATGCAGAAAGGTGGCCCCGGCCAGGTGGGGAGTGCCTGTGCGGGTACCTGGGGCGCAGCTGGCAGTGGCAGCTCTGGCTGCCACAGCCCTGTTGGTGCAGCTACTTCCTGACCATATGCGGGCCCCTGCCTGTGGCCGCAAGTCAATGGAGGCGCTGTGGGGATTGGGATGTGCCCTGCAGCAGTGGGCTCCGTTCACTCTGGGGGGTTGGGGTCTTTAAAACCATTAGGGTGAAATAATAAACAAAAGAGCTGCTTTCCCTTTAAAAAAAAAAAAAAACTTTATGGGACCACGGATGTATACGTGGTCACATGTTGCCCAAACGGACGTATGTGGCATATACCTGTACTTCGAGTGGCCCTAAGTATTTAAAATAATATGTAATTCAAAATAAAATCATTTCTTCTAAACCACAAAATAAATGTAAAGAAGCCTAAATTTTTTTTAAATTTTCACCGTGGAGCTACATCAATGCTTTTTTAAAACATTAAATACTAAGTTCTTTCAAAAACATTTTTGGTGCTCTTATTTGCTGGTGCCCAACTTAGGGGAGGAAAATGCTTCAGGGCCTTTGGGGTAAGCACAAAACTCTCGACTGGTTGGTCTGTCCTGCGGCCCCCACGTAGGTGAGGCAGTCTGGGTTCATCCCTGAGTTACCCCCAACTCAAGTGAGTTGATAGGTTCAAGCCCCACTGACGGTCCAGTTTTGGGTCTGTCACTTACCGTGTGACTTTGGGCCACTTCTGAGCCTCCCTTCTATGTCTCCATCTGCATAATAAAGGGATTATACTAAAGCCACACAATCGCTAATGGCTCCTTCATCCCAACTTCATGATTCAGCGGCAAAATGAGGCAAGTTGAGAGAGCTGCATTCTGGCTCCTGTCTCTGGACTTTGGAGCACTGAGTTGCTAAGAGGGGTGGGGGTGTGAGGCATTGTTAAATAGAAAGCAATCAGTCCCCATGACTGCCCCAATAGTGCTCCTTGGTCTGGTGGAGCCAAAGACACATCAATTGGCAGGAACAATCCAGTGTGATAATAGTGATGTCTTTGTTTTTTTGTTTTTTTTTTAATTGTACTTCAGATGAAAGCTTACAGAACAAATAGTTTCTCATGAAACAGTAGTACACATAATGTTTTATGACATTGGTTAACAACCCCACAACATGTCAACCCTCTAACTTCTCAAC